GGGGGCAGAGAGCTGAGACCTTTCAAAGCTCTTTTAGGGGGGTTGGTTTGGGCTGGGCTAAGTTTTTTAACCCAGCCAATCACATGAGAGCTATTAAAGAGAATTCTATCTGTTAGGGACTAAAGTACCTAAAGTGAACATTAAAGGGACATTGTGTAGTATTTTAAGTATTTCATTGGCTAAAAGAATTTTCTTAATTTCTAAATGTTCCCTCATTTGGTGTAAAATCACCTCTGCAATGATCGGACTTCTCCTCATAAATGAAGAATTTCCTATCTGTATATACACAGGACGGGTCCACGGAGGTTTCCGCCATTTTGAAAAACTATAATGGCAGAGGGACATAAAGCACTAGTCTGCCTGTCTAGCTAATCCATGTTCAGAGCCAGAGTCACATGACTGGAATTTCTTTGAATTTTTTTGATCAATTAAATTCATTCATCTAAAAAATTTTTTTATTTATTACAATCTTCATCACCTTAGAGAAAACTCTATGATGTAGAAGTTTGATTGATGCATGACGGCTACCGTAACTGCAATACCCATTTGAAAACACGAGGCACTAGAGAGCAACATTTGTTAGAAAGAGAATAAAAGTTCACTGTTAGATGGAAGAATTCCTACACCGTCTACCTTTGAAGATCAAAGAAAAAGCAAAGCTCCAGCTTTTCCCACAGCCAGAGGGAACCTCCTCTTTGTTTACCTTTCTGAGCTCGAGTGGTGGTTTCAAAGAACTTGACGGTGAGTTCTTGAATGGAGAGCACGGCGGCGTGGGCCTTCTTCTGCCACTCCTCATCCTCTCGCCTCAGGCTCTCCACGCGGCGGGGACCCAGACGCTCCGTCTCCAGAGAGATCTGACAGGGGAGGGGGGGGAGAGGAGGTCGTTACATGGGCCGGGTTGGCTATAAACAATTATTATTATTCATACATTTAATTTTACCCTATTATTGTCCTGCCAGTCCAGAGGTGAAGATGTAACTAAACTAGCATCTTCTGCCTCGCTTTGAAACAAAAGTAAACTTAAATCTGGACTGGGTGCTGTAAGACTGAGCTACCCTCTTGGCTCTTTGGGCTGATTCCTTGGCGTTTTAACAACAAGAAGCTGTCTCTTTCAAACCAGTAAAAAGCCTCCACACACGGATGTGTAACAACAGCTGTGTAAGAACAGAGTTACAGCAGAAGGGAGGCAGTGAGGAATATTCATCTTCCGAGTGACACAGACTCATCCAGCAAGGCTGCAACATCTATTCACAGGAGGACAGGTTTGGAGGAAACTTGTCTGACTACACTAAGGAAACGGGTTTAAAGTTTAAAAATGCAACAAAGTTCTTTTTCAAGCGGGATCGGGGCGAGGCACGGCCTCGTGAAGTCGTGTTGTGGGTGTGGACGCAGAAATCCAACCTCCTTCACGAGGAGAGTCTAGAGAACAGAATGTGCACAGACTGCGAGGTAGACTCCACGCCAGGGCCTCTGTGCACACGCAGCGCCACCGATGCAAAACAGATGTGTGCCGGTGCTCCCAAAACACACAACTTAGGCGATCGGCAACAAAACCGCAGCCGGCCTCCGATTGGTGCTCGTGCCGCGCTCGCTGTGTGCACGTGAGAGGCTCTGGGGTGGAGGGATTACATCACAGGGCAGGGAGATAAAAGTCTGGCCGAGGGAGAAAAAAAACAAAAAAAAACCTCCTCGGGAACGGAAACCCTGGAGCTCATTTTTGGGTGTAGCTGGGGGATCGTTGAGGAGCTCCGGCTGCGAGTCAGCGGTCGGAGGACAACGGCGAGGTCAGCGCACGCCGGCAGGGCTGGAAAACAGCAGCCTGAAGCAGACCCCACCCCTACTTGTCAACATCCTCATAGTTTTTTATTTTAGGCCCAGCTCTTCTTCTTTTGTCCTCCACTTTGTCCTGTTTCCTCAGATGTTTTAAGGCACTCCACACCAGGCTGAGAAAAAACACATTTTCAGCTAACCGAGCTGACCGTGAGGTCAAAGTAGTCTGAAAGAAGAACGTCTAAGCTCGCGTTAAAAAGGCCCCTGGTTCAACCTGCTGCGAATCCACATGCATCAACACAAACGCATCAGTTTCGCTCCGTTTTCAAACTCGTAGAATTCTCCGAAAAGAAAAAAAAAATGAGAGGAGGCCTCCAAAATTGACTTCAAACAGGACGCTGTGCAACCTCAGCAATTCCTCCACCTGGGTAAGGTGAGCCCCCCCCCCCAAACTGTCACCACTAAGCCTCTCCCCGTCACATCCCCACACAGAGGAAGCCCAGCTGAGTCATCACACCTCCTAATCGCACACTGGAAACCTGAAACCGAGGACAGATAGACCTCTTTCCACCGCAATTCCCTCACTGCCATCCCAGTAACGGCTTTCAAACCAAAATATGCGGCCAATGGGAGGCCAGCGATCGGCCTCCTAAAATAGAGGTGAGACGGGTTTCCTGTGGTTACTGGGTGGGATTACAACAGGCACGCCGGCCCTTATCTCATTTGGTAAAAACAGAAGGAAAAAAATAAAAGCCTTTTTGTGTGTGGCTGAGAGGAGTTTATCAGAGGGCTGCGACAGGCACAAACACTAAGCTGCACCACTTTTAGAGGTCAAATCTGTGTGTGGGGGGGTGGGGGGGGATTAATTTGCATGTCTCTTGATGGGACATTCCCTAATTTGTGTAAATTTGCCTGACTGAACGTGAACGGCGGATGTGTCGTTTGACCTAACAGCCAATAAGGTTCATCCCAAACACAACTATGAAATACAGGCCTCACCTGAGCTCGAACATCTCCAACAAATGTCAGATAATAAAGAACAACTTATTTCAAAAGTAAAATATTCCCAACTTTTAGCGAGTTATTTGACAGTTTTCCATCATCACATTAATCTTCCCGGGCACTCCTTCATGTTAAGGTGTGATTTTGGACTACAGATTTGTCATATTTGTCCTCCAGACAGCACTAATTGTGCCCCTCGTTCAGTAAAGTGCGCCTGTAGTGGTTTTAGAAGCATCGCTTAGGACTTTCAGGCGGTACCTGACCCCCGTCTGCTTTTGTCTATTCCACGCCGCCTTTATGGAATCAAGACGGATGCAAACTGGATGTAAATGCCGGTACGCCGTGTGCCAATTCCTGACTGCCTCCCTTTCCCGTGAGCCCCTGACTCATCAGTTTGAGAAAGCAGCTCCCTGTGCCTGCATCATGCCGATCATTTGCATGCGGCTCGGTTTTCAGCCGTTGGATGGCCCTGAGGGGAGCAGGTGGCAGATCTGGAAAACTCTGCTTTCACACAGAGTTCAGATTCTGAGGCTGATCCATAAATCAAGTCAGAAACAAGAAGAACGCGCGGAATCCTCTTCGGGCTAAAGCTCCTTTCTAAGAATCGCGTGACGAGCGGTTCCTTTCACAAATGTTTCACATTACGCCTCGTTTTCATTTAATGAGATATTCTCAAATAAACAATGTTGTTCCATAAATCCTACCAAATCTAAAAAATAAATAAAAGTTCTGGCCTTTAGACAAAATAAATACCCTAAGAAGGCCATGTATGGAATCTTGGGAGCATTCGGACAGTTCCATATGAATATGATCTGACTCAGACATGCCAGATGTGCTTTGATTGACGTGAGTTATCAACTCATTATGCACAAACTGCTGGCCCAGGCTCTAACTCAGTGTTTCTGTTAAAGCTTCTTCTTAGAGCCGGCGTCTGAAGTCTTTTCGGGACTCGTCCGGCTGTGTTCGGCCTGCACAGCGTCAGGTTTATGGAGCCGAGGCGGAGGGACCCGGGGGCCCTCATGAACCGGTGACGGTCGAGTGAAAACAGAACGCTTTCAGACTCCAAACACGCAGCTCAAAGGCTTCTTTTAATAGAATCTTATCTACCTCCAGTCAGCAGGACTGCCTCTAACGTTATAACCAGCACACTTTGCAAAACTAGAGATCAGCAAAAAAAAAAAAAGACTCATGGACAAGTGGTTGGAAAATGTAGAAAGTCTGCTCATTTAACTGTTAATCTCTCAAATACAAACCGAGCAGTATAGACTAAACAGATCCACTTCTTCTGACGATAAAAACTGCCGTTTTAGGGAAACTTTGCTAGGGGCGATTTAAAGAAAGGATCAATCCAGCTGGAGCAGACTAAGGAGTGTTTCTGGCAGTTGGATGTATATAAAATAAGCCACAGTGTCCACGTTTACACAGTACACAGAGCAACAGCTGAGATGACTCACGTGTGCGTTTGGAGCTTTGGGGGACAGAAAAATGAGTTTTTAGAGTAATGAGGCTGCAGGTCTTTTAAGTATTTTGTTAGCAGAACTATTTAAGAGTGAACAGGTTTGAGCTCGTTTCAGTGATTTGGTGAAAATTCTTTATTTAGATGAGCGCACACCCAAAAACCTTCATAATGCACAGCTGTAAACACACCCACCCCCACACACACACACACACACACACAGCTGCATGTATTGGTTAGCGACACCACGCTGGATAAACATGCTGTGTAAGGAATGCAGAGGGAAAAGCACAACGGCGGGGGAATCACAGAAATGATCTATGAGACAGAATAAAACAGCATCTGTCCTGTTTAGAGACACCAAATCGCTCAGGGCTTTACAGAAGGTACAAAGCACGCCTGCTTGGATAAACTGGTTATTTTGGCTTCTTGCTCCGCTGCTTTTTTCTGTGTCACTGACTGACCTGCTGGACTATCTTACAGTCAGATGAGATGTGTGGCCAGCTCTATACATGGTAAATGCTTTAAAACTATGAGGGCTGAGGCAAAGGAGGGGCAGGGTGAGGAAAGTGGGCTAACTGGCCCCTCACTAATGTGTTCAGTAAGCAGTTTACCCCGTAAAGGACACTGAGGTCATTTAAACTGCTGATATCTCAATCAGGGACTCCATTTCAAGTTAAATCTGATTATGCAGACAGTCACAGGTAAGTGATTGGGGCCATCTGTCTGTCTGGTAACAGGATTTCCCCACGAAGAAAACGGCAAGTTTCATGAAACTTGTCAAAGTCAAAATCGAATACAAAAGGAAATCACAATGTTTCTGTCAATCAGAAATTCAAAGCAAACTACCACAGTGATATTCCTTCATTTAGCTATAAACTGGCCCATGGAGGCACTAGCAGGCCGCTAGCACCTGGTGAAAGGCATAAGACCCAGAGGCTGCCCGCTCCTGCTGCTGGCAGGAAGAAGGAGCAGCTTTCACTGATCAACAGGCGCTCTGAATATGGAGAAAAACTGGGATAATTACTGCAAGCAGAACACAGGATAAGTGGTCTCATTTAGGTGTAAAGGTCATAATGGAAGATTTCTGCCAAGTCGTGACTAAATGAGCAAGAAAAGCTCGGATTTCACACACACTTGTATATTTCACTATGTGCTGAATTTAGATTAACTTGTCTCCATTTTCCTAGCCGTTTGGAAATAAAAATGAGGACGTTTGGTACATTTGTAAATACAAACCATCCTTGTGTTGGTATTTATTGATGCGGCTTCAATCTCAAACCAGCTGCTCTGTGACCCAGTGACCAACCCCGACGCGTTTAAGGCGGCTGACAGAGGCCAGACTTTTAGTCAAGAAGGAGGGGAGGAAAAAAAAAAAAAAAAGGTGGAAACGGAAGAGTGCTGAGGCATCAGAATTACCGAGTGGTTTAGTGGCTGCTGTAATAATGCTTAGGCTGGTCGTTAATCTGCCCCGGGCAAGGAAAAAAAAAAAAAAAAAGCCTCTCTGGCTGATCCTCTGCCCTGTACTACGCCATCAGCAGCAGCAGCCGCCCCACGCGAGCCGCAGCAGATCAGCCAATGGCACGACAGCCGACCCCTGGCAGTGTGCTCGATAGAGACGGCTCAAGGATCGTTTCTAACCAACCAACCAAGCGATCTGACTGGGGTGCAGCGGTTTTCAGAAACACCCCGACACACATCAAACCGTCCTCCGGCACGGAGGAGTAAGCCGGCTCCAGCGAGATCTACACCTACTTAATTCTAGCCCCGAAACAGATGGCATTTGTTTCTGTGTGCTCGTGTGCATTACCTTAATCTGCTGCCGACGCAAAGTTGCCAGTTCCCTGATGTCCCTGAAGGGCTGGAGCAGGTAGTGGTAGAGCTGCGTCGAAGCCTCCAGCAGGTCTCCGTAGGCCTCGTCCTCCTCGGGGTACACCTGCAGCAGCTCCACCATGCTGTCCATGGCTTTGTGCTTGTCCAACACCTGAGACAAAACACGCCGGAGAAAGAAAAAGTTTTTAAAAAAAGGATCCTTTCAAAAGCAGAACCAAATCAAAGAGGTTTAGTTTCACGAGGCTTGGAGAGACCATTTGAATAAACAGCTTGGCTGTCAGGTGGAGTGAACTCACTTTTCGGGAATTTCGGGAGTGCTGCGAGCTAAAATAAGTAACAGAGAAAGTACTCTGTGAGCTTATCAGCAAAGCACAAAGGCAATCATGAGCAGCCCTGCTTTTTGCGTTGTTTTTTTTTTGGCCAAACGTCTCTCAAACACAGGGAGCCGTGTTCAGAGCCCACAGCTCTGACTGGTGGGGATCCTGATTAAACATTTAGATTTATGAGTAATGCGTCTTCCTTTGGCATTATTATTCTGTCATAATCCAAAATGGGACTTGCTTTCAGACTTGCATATAAGAACCCTTCCATCTTTGCTCAAATGAATGAGAAAAACAACTGACGGGCAATTTAAAGTCTGGTTTGAGCTTAAACTATAACTGAACCCAACATCTTGTCACAGACTGAAGACTTCTGATACTTTGTCACAGAAACTGTCACGATTACTGATCATTTGTTTACATGCCACTTCATCCCTGCTTTTATGGGCGACACAGACTTAAGGGGCGAGTTTTATTGGTGGATAATGTTGTGCTGTGCGCTCAACTGGCTGCATTTTCTAAAGAAACAGCTGAAGCCCCATTAGGCAAAAGGCAAACAAACGCAGGAACGTCCCACTAACTCAGCGACTGCCGTCGTAAACGACACTGATGCAGACAGAAAGGGGACACGGGGCTGAGTCGTGTGAAGGGCCGGTTAGTCCACCTGGGCTCTTTCTACCTTGGGGACAAATTGAGTGCTGAGAGTTGACATCTCTACCTCTTCTACAAGCAAAAGGCTTAGCTTCTGCGTCTTTATATGCAGACTAAGGGAGGACCACTCAGACTTAAACAAAAGGGTCCCTGAGAGCTCAAAGAGGGGGGAAAAAAAGAAAGCCTCTGTGAGCCTGTGCATGTAGTGTGTGGCCAGGAGTATTACCATAAAATGCATTGCTGCATGTACTTCAAGGGCCAATGCTGATTCATACCATATGTCCAACTATCCACAGACAGTTCATTGTTCTTTAGAACGGGCTTTTGTTCAGAAAACACAATTAATGTTCCACCTCTCTGATCCAGCAGCACAATACTCCTCCTTCACTTCTGTCTCAGATGATATTTAAATGTACCACCGACCAATCGTCATCCAATAAGGGGAATAAAGTCCCTCTCTTTCTGCACAGAGCCCCAGATATGAATGGAGGCTGTTATAGGAGCTCCGGGCTGATTTTCCAAAGCCCCTCCACGATGGAGACACTACACGATTCAGCTTCAACACTGCTCCTACTGTTTGTGTTGGCTCTGCTTCTCCCTGCCAGCCAAACACCCCCTTCAGCCGCCGCTTGCCAGAAAAAGACTGGGCTAAATGATCCAGCTCCAGCCTGGGCACAAACCAGGCCGAGCAGCCTCTACTCAAAAGAGGGGAAAAAAATGGAATTCACACACAACAAGAGGAGGAGTTTAACTAACTGCATTTGAAAACGTTTAGGAAGCCGTTAAGAGGCTGCCTAAAAGAATGAGACATGCAGGCCTTCTCTGCTCATTTAAGGCCTGTATTTAACTGGAAATAGTTCTGAAACCACATAAGAAAAGCTCAAACTAGAGTTTCAGAACATATTTTCTCTACATCTATTTTACGCATCTATATATTCCATTTAGTTGGAAACTAAATCTAAATCGAAAGTCATCAGCTTGTTCTTTTACATAAGAACGCAGGGTTTTATTTAGAACAGCTGACTGAAAATACGCATTTTAAAGAATATAAGCGGAAATACAAGCTAAGTATAGATTTTGAGCCAACAGACAGTGAACAGACTCCATAATTACAGGACATTCCTGGTAACAGTGCAGTCAAATCCAAACCTATCATCAAGTCTGAGTCCTTTCTGTGATAAATCATCTGTTTTACCAAAGTGATTCTCTCCTCTGCCTTTTAATTGAGATATCACACAGGAAGAGCGAGCTTTTACAGACGCCGTGTGTAAACGCCGTTTTAAGAAGGAGTTAAAAAAAGAAAAACACGCCCACGACCTAAGAATCAATACAACTGAGGTCCAAGAAAAGAATTGCTTTGGACAGCATGGCTTCATTCATTTACATTCACCACTATTATCAACACATTTGTGGAAGCAAAAATGGACTCAGTTTCTGTATTAAAGAAACTGTGTTCACACTGTTGGTTATGAATAATTTAAGAACATGAATTTAGGCAAAAGTTCATGGAAGCTGTTGCGTTCTGAAGGGAACTGGGTGACGAGGACAGGCTGTCGTGCTGGATAACCGATCCCACAGCTGCATCGCCGTGACAACGCAAACTGTGGGCAAACACGCCAAAGCCAGCACAGACCAACACGTGGAGCCCGGTCATTTTACGGCTCGCCAGTTCTGGTTTAAATACAAAACTACATCCTGGTCAGTTTGTTTTTTCATTATCTCAGAGCTGTAATAACAAAGGCCAACTGGAGCAAACTATAAAACACATTCAGTTTAAGAATACTAGGGACCTTTAAGATAATTGTAATGCAATACGTATAATTATTGGTTTACTATGTGTGAGGTTTAATGTTGACAAGCTGTAAATCTGGTTTCATTGAACAAACTAGACATCACGTAAATCTCTGGTCAATGATTTACGTGATGTCCGCTGAGTTTTTTTTTAAACCAGCAGTCAATCTTTGTGCTATTTGGCCCGGTTATCTCTAAGGACAGGGGTCTGGGCTCTGTCGTAGTGGAGATAAGAAAAAAGCAGTGTCAAACAGCAGCTCCATGCAAACCGACATCCGGGAAAAACGGGGAATTAGGAGATTCTGGGGGCAAATTTACCAGAATTATGCGTAATTGTCTGGTTTTTCACCAAAACAGTTTTAGGACTAAAGCCGTGGGACTGTATGTTAAATGTAGATAAAGTGAACTTTAAACTGACTGCAGCAGATCATTTTGTCACATCTATTTCCAAAACTCCACTACACGCCAATCTTCAAATGTTGGGACCAGCTCAGCACTCTGTGTGCTGCACTGCTTACAGTCGTGCTTTATTAAGGATGGACCTGCTGACCTGGAAAATGGAAACCGCACAATCCAATAAAACAGAGTAAATATTACCTCAGTTCATGATGACCCTGTCTCACAGGGGGGGGGTTAGGTGTCGAAGTGGATTACATTCCACCTTCTGATTTCGTGATATGTGGGAAGCGATAAAAATAAAAATAAATAAAAAACAATACAACTCCACATCATGAGACACGAGAACAGGGCTGCATCTAACTGATAAGTTATCTTTTAGTCCAAAGGAACTTCAGAAAATGTTCTAACTGGACTTGGACGTTCTATGATGATTCTTTTTTTTTTCTTTACTGATATGCAAAATGAAAAAGTCCTAATGACATGTCAACTAACATGGAGTGAACTGATACTGTGAGAAAATAGAAACTGTTCCCAGTTCACGTTTTAATCTCTGTGACACATTCTGTCCACATGTGAAGGAATGAACCAGCTGTGAGCTGGTTGGAGAACGTGTAGAATGACTGATAGTTTAACAGTTTATCTAAAGAGAAAAACATAAATGGTGTAAAATTGTGTACAGGGTAAATCTTTCAGATCTGAATGTAAAGGGGAAGGACAAATATTTGTCTGAGGTCTTAATGGCAGCTTGTAAGAAATCAATATTAAGCAAACAAAACCAGGTAGATCCACCAGCTCTGGACCAACTGAAACAGACACAAATTTGACTCCAGAAGACAAAGCCACCGAGTAGAATGAGTCGCTGAGCACTCGTTAGATAAACAGGGTAGAGGGGGATAAATATGCAATTATTTTCAGCCAGGAATTAAAGATATTCAGTCACCAACAACGAACGGCTTGTATCGGCCGTTTTTTTCCTGAACGTTTGTCAAATGAGGCTGCGGTTAGAACGTTCCTGTTTTATTGGAGCAGAGCGACCGCCTGCAGGGCCTTAACAGCCCCTCATGCATTTAGCTGTCTGACAAAAGAAACTAAATATAAACACAATCCAATGTTTAGAAAGGCTTTACCGTTTTTATTTTAAAATGCACAAAAGCTGGATATATGCAGCATCTGCCGAGTCCCTAAGGCTGTTTCTGTAATGGCTAAATACGTACAGGAGCTCTATGAACGCCAACGGTACCTGGCCTGGTTTCAAACGATTCCTGTAAGACAAAACTATGATCATTTTAATGTGATGTCAACATTCTGAGCAACAGGGATTTTCAGATCTTATTTTTGTTTTAGAAGTGTTTAAATGGCTTCTTAACCCTCAGACCTGATCAGATGCTGATCCTGAGGTTCAGACTAAAACCAGGTGATGGATGGTTTTCTGTTCACTCTTTGGCTTTTCATTCGGGTAAGGCTTTTGATTTTTATTTTTTTTACATAAACAAAAAAGCTAAATGCATTGGACAGAGATGCCTTGGTCACTAAAATGGAAAGCATTCAAAACATTTACCAGACCTGATTCTCGAAAGCAACTTTGAATTTAAGGAGTAAACGTAATAAAATAACAGAATCATAATCGACAATTAACTTACAAGATGATTGATGTGAATCATTTGAGACCATTCATTGTTTGTTTGCTTTTGAGCATTTTCAACCTCACAAATCAGGGAAGAAAAGAAAAAGAAAATACACAAAACAAATAACAATAAAACCATGTCAGAACTTCACTGGCCCTGCCTTCCTCTATGCTTTAAACGTCCATCATACTAAATGAAACATCTGAAAATGTAGCACTGGGAGGTCCAGAGAGAAATAATGTATGACTTAAGAAGCTCATTTCCAGATGATGTGCTAATGAGAGAAGTAGGGTGCATTCTGGCTAGATTTCATAAGCTAGTGTAGCCCGGCTGCTGGGGAAGATTCAGTGAAATAAATCAGTCAGAATGTAGAGATGAGTGACTGAAACGTGCTGCCAAACACAAACAAGTCAATTCTTCTGTCGTTACATAATTTCCTCCTGGCTGAGCTCATTTCCAAGAGTCTTGTCAATATTCCATTTGGATTTGTGACTGGCGGTGGAGCCCAGCAGCTTAATAATGTTTTAAAGCCTTTAAATATTCCTGCATATGCCTGTGCAGGAAAAGGGGCCAACCTAACAGCTGTGGCAGCATGTCACTCTGTGACTCCACCTCCATTTGTGCCGTTTTCTATGTAACTCCCTTCAAACTATTCAGCCAACTGGAGTGTGGTGTCTGGCCAGAGCAGATCATATTACCAGTCTGTGAACGTGAGGCAACAGATGGTAGATCACAGAGGGGACAAAGGAAGAGGAGGAGAGAGTCAGCAGGCCGCGAGCCACAGAAGAGCCGACATTAAAAAAAAAAGTGCACGTGAGGTTATGAACTCACAAGAAAAGTTACAAACGATAAAAGCATTTCCAATAAGCCGCTTAATAAAAAGCTATTTCACCTCTTGCATCCGTCTCTTGGCCGCCTCCAGAGCGTCCTCGTAGCCTTTCTGCCTCAGCTCGCTCAGGCTCTCGTAGTACTCCTCCGTGTCGTCGCTCTCGGAGAAGAGCACCTGGGAGAGGATCCTCCAGCCGCAGGTGTCCAGAGCGTGGCCCAGGTACACCTGCAGCTGGTAGCACAGCGCCTCCGTCTCCCGCTGCGAGAAGCCGGGCCCGCCGAACAGCACCGTCCACACGCCGGACTGCTCCTCCGGGAAGGGGGGCAGGCACGGCTCCAGGTCCGAGTTGACGGCGCACAGCTGCTGGTGGACCGTCCTCAGGTCCTGGAAGGAGAACAGCCCGGCCCAGCTGAAGTCCTCGCGGCCCCCGGCGTCCACGTCCGCCGGGTCCGCTTCGTCCGGGGCCGGGGGGACCTCCGCGGGGTCCAGTATCTCCAGCTCCACCGCTTTGGGCGTCACAACATCCCAAGACCCGAACGTGTGACTAACGCACTCGAACGTATTCAAACCAAAGTCTTGCGTCGCGTTTTTGTCTCCGACGCCAGCGTCTGCCGTGTTTTTTCCTTTCGAGACGGAGCGAGGTCTAACTTTACCCGCTTGGCTGACTCCCTTCGCTTTGGTCGGACTTTTCGCTTGTTTTTCCGCGTCGGCGGCAGGAAACGCGGCGGTGGGGCTGCCGTCGAGGTCCAGGAGGGTGCTGCGTCTCTGTACGGTCCTGTTGTGGCAGGTTATGGCGAATTTCTCCTCGATGTCGTTCCAGGCCACGATGAAAACAAATTTGTGCCTCTCTTTTTCGTCGAACACTTTGGGCCGGACCGACACCCATCCGGACTCCAAGTTATCTTCCATGGCGAATGACATTTCATCCAGCCTGTAAACACGACGCGATTACCGTTAGCGAGAGGGGGGGAGAAACTCCTCTGACGTCGAGTCTTGAACGTTACCGCGAGCTAACCGCAACTAGCACGAGCTAGAACCGACCGAGAGTCCCACCAGCTAAATTTAGAGTTGAAACAAAGGCTTGCCAGCTTTGTAAACCCGCTGCCAGCTGCGTGCGAGCGACCGAAAACGCAGCTAATGTCGTTATCCCCCCCGAGCGGTCGGATTTGGGATTCAGACATGGAGTTCAAACGGCCGAACGGGCTCCGAGAGCGCGAGCGGACGAAAGGCGAAAAGTGTCCTCCGCGCTGCGACAGTGAACGTCGGTTGCCATAACACCTGGTCGCTCACCTGCCCGACGCTCGCGCTCACTTGTGTGGGCTCTTTGTCCGCTCAGACAATGCCGTCGCGCGACTCGGCTCAGCTCCGCTCTGCTCTCGGTGTCACGTGTGAGCTTCTGTTTACAAGCACAAGGTGCGTGCGTGTATCTCAAATCCGGGGAGGGATTTAATCCTCCACATGTAACATTCAGGTCACATGAAAAAATCGGAAATGTACATTCTCGTTTTTTAATGTTTACGTGTCAAACTAGTGCATAGATATTTTCATTTGATATATTCAGATACCCTAACTATACAAGATGAAAGGTTATGACCCTGTTGTTGCTTGAGAAATATCACGTTTATCTTAGAGGGTAAACAAGTGACTAGAAACAATAGAGACAAAGGGCAGATAACTGATAAAACATGCATTAATGTGTTAAAAACAGCCACACTGAGCTACATAATAACCAAAAGGCCTATATAATAGTTAGATAGAGATGAGTAATATAAAAAAGCACCAACAATAACGTCCAGTAGACAAAATGCATATGAAACATTGCAGATTTTTATGGAGAAACTGCTTCACAAAGATGTTAGATCAATCAGATACACACACATCGATTACATAAAGATAACAAATTATCAAAATACTTGTAAAAGAAAACGTTTAAGACATAATTCACTAGATGTTTGTTAATACCAGCACTATTGTCATTTTCTTTTAATATATCCCCACATCTACTTTTTCCCATACACCCTGAAAGCGGCCTAATGGGCTTGTTTTTCTAGAAGAGTTTTCTTTGAGCTGAATATCGTAAATGAAAATAATTGTATCCACAAAATAGATTTCCTTTCATTCTTTGGTCGTTTAAATGTCTGTTAGTTCAACTCCAGTGTCCTTCGTCCATCAACGTGTCGTTTTCTATCCCAAAACTGACTTGCACGAGGAGCATAAACATCTGCACGTGGGCATATCCATGACGCAAGTACGCATGGAGCGTAATGACGTCACTATGCTGTATGGCGAGTCGAAAGGGTAGAAAATGACCGAGAAACCTATTTAACTTCTGTTTGTTTTCTGTTTTGTTAGAGTTATGATAGCTGGCAAATCATTTGGTTTGTTAGGAATACAAATACTTAGATTCTTTCGACAAAAAAAGTATATTTTTGAGATGCAATATGGAGAATATATTTTAAAAATTACATTGTTGACTGAACTTCTTTAGGAAACTTTCAAGATGTATCTTCTGGTGGAGCCACAATCTGCTTCACAGAAGTCTTTTGGGGAAGCAGTATCAGAACCAGATACTCCAAGAGGCTTTAAAAACTGGTACAAAGCAGTAGGGACTGCTCTGGAGCCCCTGAGCTGATTATAAAAGAAAGTCTGCTTTAGAGGCTGATGAACACATCAATTTATAGTGTTAGAACACGAGGTGAGCCTAGTCAAAAGATTTTTCATTATATGTTTCTTAACGACAAAAAATAATCAACACTTTTCTATTATTCATATTTACCAAGTTATCCTTATAACAATTCTTGTGTAAATTGTATTTTATTTTATTGACAGCTGCAAAACTCAACGCTTGAGCCATGAGACAAAGTACTTCCTTTTTCTTATCCCAAGATAAAAAGCTGCTTTGTCCCTTTAAGTGGCATCATTTGGGTTTCGGGATCATTATCAACCATGTTTAAAACGGATCTAAATATTGTCAGGAAAAAAGAGTGTGTGTGTATCATGTCTATTTTTATGACCCACCAGAGTGGTAAAGTCACATCCTAATATTTTCCATGTTACTGTTCAGTCACAATACTTCAGCTGAATAAACACAGGAAATCAAAACTCCCTTTGGACTCACAGGCTTAAAAACAACCCCACACGCAAAAAGCAAATCATAGCTCCACCAGTTATTCCCAACTATAGCAAAGGGGGCGGGATCCTTTATTTTGGGATTATCCATAAGTAAAAACCCATGAGAAAATTCAGACTACCAAGTCACACAACACTTGGCTTTAACTCCCCCCATTGTCATTAGTTTATTCAATGCTTTAGAGATTTTTGTGAAATGATAAAGTAAAAACGCATGTTTTAAGATTAAATGAGATAAAATATAATTAATTAAACTCTGGTTTACAAGATGAGAGCATTTCAAGGTTTTTCATTTCTTTCTAAAGTGCTGCCAGAAAAAAAAATCTGAGCCCTTTCCACAAAAGCAGTGAGTCACACACAGATTTTCTACAGGAGGTTTTATTTCTCTTACATTCACACAATTTCAGGCACTTTTGGAGTGTAAAGGCATTACTTGGGTGTGTTCAGAGTGGCTCGTTTGAGCTTTGAAGTTGAATTTATTAAAAATATGACAAATATGATCTATTTTAGAAACTACTTCTGAAAAGTCATCCGGACATGGTCAGTGTTTGATACCAGTTTTCAAAAAGAGTAAAAATGGTCCTAAAAAGGCTAAAGGAATCTCTTTTTGGTTTGTAAACTTGGGGGAATGTCGCCCTATGGTTTCTCCTCTGTGTCGGAGGCCTCGGAGGGGATCAGTTGGCTTGGTGAGTGGCCCTATCAAAGAGAACCTTCAGCTGCTCCTTGGAGGTGGCCTCTTTTTGTTGCATCAGGTCAGCGTGGCCTTTGGTGACACCCCAGCCATCGGGGGCGGACATGGACGCACAGAACGGACGTCCTGAAGCAGGCTTCAGCTTCTCCCAGTAGTCACGACGAGCCCTGTGCAGGGGAGGAAGTTAAAGCGCTCGTATTTTAAAGTAGATGTACCAGTTTAGGTTGTGATACTCAAAACAAATGAAGGAGCTCTGTCGTCCTTCTTATCCTCCGTATTAATGCAACGCCTTTGAATGTTCATTTTTAAGTCTTGTATCTTTTAAAACAAATGTCTCTACCTGAAAAAACCCACGCCGCTCTGACTCTAAATAACAGGCTTTTCTGAACAAGTTTGAGTTCAAGTCAGATTTTTAATCTTTGTCTCCATTTGAGTTAAACTATTTTCAACCATGAAGGATCTGCATGAAGAAAAATCCTCTACAAAAAAGATGGGAAGAATCATAATGTGGGTTTGTAGTGAAAACATTGAGTGAGTTTTAGTTTTTAATTTTTATTTGAACTAACTGGAAGACTTAATAAGCCGATAACCCCTAAATTGATGTTATGAAAACTTTTCTTTTAATGGTCAGCCTTGATCAAGGGTTACCACTTTGGGGTTAAGGGAAAAAAAAAAGTGAGGAAGCGAAACAAAGCCCTACCTGGCTCTGACCCAAGGCTTGGTGTGCATCTCCAGGCCGTTGCCCCAGCTGCCGTGCTTCTCCGAGCCGGCGGGCAGGACGCCCCGCTCCACCGCCAGCTCCTCGGCCAGGGCCCGGATGTGGTACGGCTCGAATCCGCAGCAGCCGCCGATGAAACGAATGCCCGCGTTGTAGGCCTCCCGGGCGTACTGATGCATGTCCCATCTGGTCAGGATCCTGGGCTCCAGAGCTGTGGGAACGAACGTGAGCACATTCTCGTCATTTACCACGCCCACATCTGGACCAAGAAGCCAGATGTCGGGGGGTCCGGCTGCGCACCGAAGGGGAACTCCGGAAGGTCGATGAATCCCTGCCGGTTGCAGTCCGGGGTGTGGAAAGCTAGTGGCTGGGACATGTAGTGGGCCTTCAGGCCCGCCTTCTCCACTCCCTCCTTCATCAGTTTCACCGTCTTCACACAGGTCTCCGGGTCAAAGTGGCAGTTTATCCCCACAATCTGAGCCCCTACAAAGAAAAAACACACACAAAATGTCAAGGTTCACACAAAATATGAGTACATCTTAGAGTCTGGTGTAAATATCAATCAATATCTATGGAAAATGCTGAAATTTTTAATTTAAGAAGTAGTCAAATTAAATTTAGTGTAATATTTTTATATGGCATTACTTCTCTCCACCACCAGATGGCAGCACATATCTGTTTTTTTTTTTAAAGTTTTACAGAAGACACCCTAGTCTGTGATACTGGAGGGGTTGTTTTAGGCACTAAAACGCTAAGTCAGACCCAATCAGGATGCAGTATAATATGATTTTTGGGGCCATTTTTGATCTGCACTGTAACAATACTACAAAACCGACATTTTAGGGGTTTTAAGGCTTAAACATGCGTTTGATTCGGTTGATTAAATCAGTCTAACCCTAACAGGCATGGTCTAAGGATCATAGCTGGCACTACCAGTCTCACTTCAGATTACTTAAAACCTGTTTTTGTTTTTTTATTCAAAAAATAGATATTAAAAAGGAAAAAAAACTATTCTTGTGTTTATCAAATAACCAGTCATGGGCAGACTGTGCTGCACAAATCCAATTTCAGTGCCACTGTTAACGAGCAGAAATGTTTCCAAATCTAATTTGGAGCTCACCTTAAATCAAAAAGTGACGCTTAAGAAACTCATGACGTGCACTCATTAATATCCCTACAAGACAAAGGACATTCCTGCAAGCTAAAGCACCCCAAAAAATGTCTTCTTCTGGCCACCCTGATGATCGTTTCCAGCTGTGAGGGGTGCACATTTTAAAGACAGAGGGGGGCTGCAGAGGGTCTGCCTCTTTATTTTCAACAGATCCTTCAGCAACTAAAGGTTTGAGGCGTCATACCAGCTTTGACAAGCCT